CTGGTGCATTTTGTACAATACTATATGTTAATACCGCCTACGAATCGCCCAGAAAAACAGCAAGTGGAGTGGATGGGATCAGCTTTATTTGCAAGTATATCGACAAAAAATGTGTTACAACGTAACTGGAATTGTCACAGATTGATAATCAAACTTTGAAACATGATTATGCTCAATATAAGCACGTTGCACTGTTTACGGTCGTTGAATAAAAACTATGCATATTTTAACTCTCTATGATCGGATATAAAAAGCCAGCTAACAGAAGTCACGAGAATCCTTTGTGCAATTTCGTAAGCAAAGCACATTTGGCAGCGGTAACGGAGGATGTACCTCCCCAAAGGGAGGGGGCAGGGTACACGGAATAAGACGGCTCACTTTTTTTGTATTTCTTTTTTCTGTTTCACTTCATTCTCTTTATCCTCGTCGTATTGGCGTTTGGACGCCTCGAGAAATTCCATCACCGGCATACCATGAACACATAGATGTGAGTGGTCCGGGTCTGTGCTAAGTCGATGCACCTCGGTCTCGAGGCGTTTCAGATCTCGTTGCAGTTGTTTGAACTCTTTCTCAACTTTCAGAAGAATGCCACCACGATTTTTCAATACAACTGGATCTTTCTTCTTCATCTGGAATGGGAGAAAAAGACAGTCAGACAGAACTGAATGGCTGTGTTCAGTCCGCTCAGAGATAGCTAGTCGAGATATATGATCAAAAGTGGCCAGGAAACAATAAACGACAACGGTCTGGAATGAAAGACAAACAAAGCACGACGCCTCTATTGCACGCCACTTAGAAGTTTTGTTCCTTTGGAAGTGGGATAAAAACCATAAACATGTCGAAATGCACCATCATCAATAACTTCAATTTAACGCGATGTTTCGTAGTATCTTTAGTAAACGATCATCTGAGTCTTGGAGGGCCAAACCTAAAAGCCAAAACGCCTCGACGGAAGGCAGATCCGAAGGCAGTTTCTCTAGCAATCAGCAGCAAGTCATGACTTGCCAAATAGTCTGTTGTCTGCATGATATCGCAGACGTTGTCTAGGCGTTAGTAGGACGTACCCACCTAATTGGTCGATATTAAATCGCTCATATTGTCGGTAAACAATGTTCCAATGATACGAGAACGCAAGAGCAGTACCACATAGACATAAGAACTATCAATCGACACGAACTACAAGAGATATCAAACTAACCTCGGTCTCTCGGAAGCGAGCAAAGACAGTCTGCCACTCCTTGATTGCTTCAAAAACTGACTGATGAACTGCATGGAACGCCTTCCAATGATTGATCTGGAATTCAATAAGATATCGAGGTGCAAAACAAGTATCAAACCTCTGATTCCAACGAACTTAGCACGGCTTCGGTGTATTCGCCCGGTTCCATTGTGATCATATTCCGTTCGTTTTCGCTCAAATAGCATGCGTCCCACCAATCGTGTAATTCATTTCGACAATTCTCGATAAATATGGACAAGTTCTGACGTCGAAGTTCGGCCAGTCGTGAAGCTTCATTTTTCAGCTATGGATGGTGAAGAAGTGTTGCAATCATCGGATCATCAAGAGAATAAAGCACTTCATGTAAAGAAACTGTTTATGACCGAGCAACTTTTCTTTTATTATCAATCAATTAGAGACACTAAGTGATATGGCCGAGCGTCGTAAACAGTGCTGCTCGTACATCTACTCATTATTCTTGTAACTTCAGTCCATATGAATTCGCTATCTTTCGCTCGAATTTGCTCTCAATATTCCAAGCTTCATTCTGTTGTTGATCCAAATGGGCAGCCAAAAGACAGCAACCAAAACCGTCGCACGAATGTGCATGGTTAATGGTTGTAAGAACTGAACTAAACTCTCTTATTATCAGCAATCATATGGATTAAAATGACTTTAGTTGGGCTCGGAGAAAAATATTTTTCGTTCGAAATGATTATTATTATTACTAGCACCACCATCATCATACAGTGCAGCGAAGTTCACTGATCGCTGCCAAGCTCGCAATGGAAAAAGTGAGAAGCTATAATATGGATAGGGTTTGGGCCTAATTGGACGGAGGAAAAGAAAGTGAACCTCTATGGTCAACCGAGAGTGCACAACCTAATTTTGTATACAGACCTTCTCAAGCATTCTAACCCCATGCGAAGTGACAACAAGAACGCCCCTGATGTCGGTT